TTCCTCCACTTGGCATCCACCTCCCCTCTGTTGCTGCCACTGTGGCTGAGGCTGAACGTGGAAGGTACAACTCGTCCACGTTGCTTTCGCGGGGCCTCCAGAAAACGGGTTTATGGGAACTTCGTGCGATTTTAAGCCCATACAGTGCTAGACAGGGTCCGACAGGCTTGCAAAATGCAAAAATTTCGGCAACTAAATTTTGGTGAGACACTGCCTTTAACAGCTCCTCAAAGCAAAACTCCGAGCTTGAGAGTTGGAACTCGGAATTACGAAAGCGGAACTCAGAGTTTCAATAAGCGTAACTCAGAGTTTCAAAAACGGAACTCAGAGTTATCTCTGAGTTAACGCGGAGCTTCAAACTCGGAGTTTCGACCAGATTACTACCGACCCTGATTTGTTTATTCTTCACTATGTTTTTTTCGTTATCAGAAACACACGAAGCTGATAGTTGTTAAAAAATTCTAGTTGAGTTCTAAAAAAAAGTTGAATTTACTTTCGAATCTTGATTTTTCGAAATATTGATTATTCGACCATTTCCAGATATTTTTTTCTCAAAAATCTCATATTTGGGATGTGTCAATACTTGAATATTTGAATTCATTATCAAATATCTGATCGCTTGAGTGCTTCCAGGAAATTCTTCGTAAAAACTGTTTCATCTTTGATAGAAATTTGGCCGTTACGACTTTACACTCTAGGACATTTCGCACCTCAGCGTGCTCAGACAATCACAGGCTCTCAGCCGGCAGCCACAAACCCACCGCGAAAACCCACCAAAAGCGCGGTGGCTTTGTGGCTGCCGGCTGAGAGCCCGTGATTGTCTGAGTGATGGCGGGAGACTGCCGAGAGAGGGATTAGAGAGGGGAAAGGGACTGCCGCGTAGCGCAACGCAGTTAGGGCAGCGTTGCATCTCCGTAATTACCACGCGGTGCGGCTGCGAGCGGCTGTCCGGGTATCAATTGATACGGACCCCCTTTGTAGCAATGAACGCTCTTTGCAGTTATTTTCTGACTCACGCAAGATTATGGCTGCCCGCTTGCTACTTTTTCCAAGTTATCGCCGCCCCCTCACTGGAACTGCTTGCTATCGTTGCCCTGTGAGAGCTTCCAAATGTCTGAGTTATAGTGAGGTTGACTTAGGAAACTCTTACTCAAATCTGATGATATGTACTGTGCAAGTCCAATAAATTTCGAAAAAAGTGCGCAAGAGCAAGCCATCTTCGCCTATCAAGTTTGATTATGCATACTAAGGTTTTTACAACCATGTTCAAATCAGCTAGAAGTTTTCTTCTGCACCTTCCAATTTCAGAAAATCAACGGTACTTTTTACAGACTTTACCGTTATGGCAGACTAAATTGCTCATCAGATTGTGTATCAGAATATATTAGGTTGTCCCGAAAGTTTTGTCGGTTTCTTTCATCGCTCACTAAAATTCACAGAACACCAGTCCATAGACGGCTTAGGCAACATTTGGTTCAGATTTTTATCCTCTTTCTTACAGTTATACTTGCTTTTTGATCTACCCTGTCTTTGCGATGTTACCGTCATGGATTTGAGCAGCTCAGCAGTAACGTCAAATCTTTGATGTTTTCAAAGGACGCTGGTAACTGTTATGTAGAGCAAACCTTTGGCTACATTGTATCCATTTTAGATCACATGAACCGCGCTTACCAAGTCCGTTATAATTATTTATTTATTAAAAACTGCGGCTTTTTGAATAAGTTTTACACGTAAAAGTACCAAAAATTCCAAAAAGCTGCTTTTTCGAAGCGAAACAAAGTTGGTTATGTTGCATAAATGATGTTGAGTAAAAATTATGTTTTAATAAGCAAATACTTCAAAAGCTTTCGTGTGTTTTGTGCAGTTGCGTGTTCCCTGACTTTGCCAAAAATCGAGACCTCCGGAGAAATAATTTTTAAAGCTAAAATCAGCAGATTAGAAGGATCTAAAAATACCTGCTTGTAGTCTGAGAGTTGCTCTATTTGATCCATACTCAATGCATTTCGAGACTTTGTAATGAATCTTTCAAAAATTAGCCTAACTTTGAGCAGGTAAATTTGACAGGTGGAGAATTTTGGCAATTACAAAAAAAGCACACAAGATTATGGTATGAAAATGTATCCATAAGAAAGAGAAGGAAAAGTGCATCGAATGCACATTAGAACTCACTCATTTATTGTGCGTGGTTTTACAGTGGTTTGAAAAAACCGACAAAACTTTCGGGACAACTATTAAAATTGAAAAGACCATGCCTTTGTAATAGACCCGTTATCTCGAATCACCTTTGAAGTTGTTATATATCTTGAAAGTCTCAGCTCCGAGTAAGTTCGCCCGCTGTACTTTCCCCTGCTTCTCAATCTCCCTTTCTTATTCAACCAATGATGCCAGTTGCTACCGCACAATATATAATACCAGTGCGTCACCTCTGCTTCGCAGAGGCTCGCACCGGCCTTACATTCTGTATGCCTTAATATTTCCCGCATAATGATGACAGTGAAACTCACCCCGTTATGCAGGCTATCACGAATGATTTGTAAACAGCTACTCATTCCTAGAGGTTTTTGTGCGAGATCGGTAATTTCACGTGGATGAAACTTTTCTCAGAAGAATAAATGCAAATTTGAACAGGTTTGTGGACTTCTCATGGCTTAGTAGTCGCATAAAGGCAATAATCACCGTGGGCTGCATCTCTGTGCAAAATCTTCTCAAATGATCACGTAAAATCGTGGTAAATTGAACATTTACGCACTGATACTTTTTGGCGCCATTTTCGTAAAGTAACCAACTTTAGTTGAGTTTTTTGGGCTAAAGTTCACGGCTTGTACATTAGCTTGTCAAACATATCCACGAATTTGCAAGAAGTTTATATACGGACCCAATTCTGCTGGTCAGAAGTTAAGTGGACCCGTTTTGCGCGCAATTTCTAGGGGATTCACTTATCGGATCCGCCTGTGCTTTTGCACAATGGACTTTCCTGCTGCTGGGATGTGTTATGCAAAATTTGGGCTCAAGAGGTTGGCTGGAACTCTCCCTACGAATTTCGTAACGGACAGACACACACACACACACACGCACACACAAAAAAACGTAAACAACCCTTAGCCCGTTATTATAAGTTATGATAAATGGATAGGGATAGGGAACATGTAGAATGCACAAACGAACCTCTTAAAGTGTCGCGGACTAAGGAAAAAGTCCGGGATTGCGTTAAAAAAGTCAAACACTAGATTTCTTTTAGAAACAGTACATTGTTTGAGCAAGCTTGATAAGAAGGATGCAGATAAGAACAGTCTTTGGCAAGATGAATGCGTTTCAACCGCTAGACTCAATGTGGTAATGTTCAGTAAAGTCTAAAGTAGGTTTGAAAAATGTTGTGATACTTCAAACATCTTCTCCGGCCATCGGGATCACGCTATATTGTAAAATCATTTCCCGCGCCTCCGCCCCTTAGCAACACAAGGAGACTTTGAGAATTTGTTTTTATAGCTTGAACGGGTTGCAAGTTTACTATAGCAAACGAGTGAGTGTTACAAAACGTGAAATTGATCGGAATGATATATAGAAAGTCAAGATGATATTCTTGTACGGACGAAGCAGATGTGGGTTTAAGGGTACTGCAAAAGCATTTTCGGTTACCGGGAAACGACTCAAAATGCATTCCATGCCGTGCCAATTCAAAAACAGCCGCTACGGAGTAGTACAGAGATGTGTACAATTCATTGTAAGCCGCAAAAACAAGCTGTAATAATAGCTTTATTCAGATTCACAAAATTATAGTACTTCATTCACGTGGTAGCTATCACGTCAATCAAAGGCAAACCCAAGAAATGAGCACAATTCTCAACGAAGGCCAGCGAAGACTTCTTAATTAATTGCAGATATGTGATTGGCCTTTTGCTAATGAGATAACATCTTGCTAAAATTTGCGAACAGTAAGGTTAACTGCCGGCATAGTTACTCATCATGGTGATAAGGCATCAGACTCAAGGCAAGATATAAGAACAAATTCGAAAAAAAGAAACACCAGGAGGATATCACATTGATGATAAATAGTGCTGACTACATCTGGGATAATTACTAGACAAGATTCCGTTTCATAACAGGGCTAGAGGCATGATCAAAGCGATAAATATTAGTAGAGAAGCGCTAGAGGACCCCGTAAGATCAGCTTCGGCCCATTCCCTTTGTCGAGCCAACAATTCTCGTTCCTCTTCCGTTATTCTGAAGATGAAAGTATTGATGTATAAATATAAATTTATGGAGATTGAGCATCAGGAAAGATACTATCAAAATATATGAAAGTGGTAGTTCTTCCCACTTATATGTTAAATGCGAAATTGGATCTTATATTCAATCATTTGAGGTTACGTCTGATAATGCAACTCCCCACTTCTCTCATTTTATTTATTCACAAATTTGATATGCACAAAGGTGTGCCATATTATTATTTAGACCAATCAGATGCTTATCCTAGCCTCAGTCTGAGGGCCTCAGAAGTTGGTTATGATTTCATCAAAGTTTGCGCGAAACTTTTATCGATGGTAATGTATACTGTTACTTTTTTCCTTTCAGAAAATTAGGGGAGTTGTTCAAACATTTTCAGGTACGAGTGCGCAAGCCTAGGACATTGTATGTGTTGCTCGTAGTGGACACACAGAAATAAGGGCGATTAACTTCTCTTGTATGGGAACGCAGTAAGTTGGAATCAGAGCTCGGCAGAGGTGGTTTGTAAGCAAGCTGGATATCGTTTCTGGGACAAAAAAGGGGTATCGTTTGAGGCCGAAAAGACCTCGCAGACTTCACAAATCTGTGAAGTTTTTTTAGCCGATGTTTCGGTTTTTTGAGGGATCTTTTACGTTTAGGGTTTAAGGTCAAAGCGGACTACGTAAAATTTCGCGATAGTCAAGGGGAACTTCGTTTTTTTGCATTTTCCAAAAGCCCTCGTGCCGAGCCCTGGTTGGAGTGAGGAACCTTGAAGTGATGACTTTTTTGACTTACCGTGGTACAGACGCAGTGGCAGTGCTCACCCGAGGAGCCTCATCGTTGTCCAGGAATACTGTAGGCATGTCTATTGCGGGCTGATGTGACTGGAAAATAATAATTCACTATTATGCCAGAACAAATTAAAAGCAAGTCTATGAAATTATGGTCTGTATTTTTATAAACTGATTCACGACTTTGCGAAAAATGAGTGAAAGAACTGTAGAGTCGAATCTATTTTCTACCTATATGGTTTTATACACCTTGGAGATTGAAATTTCTTTCAACTTACCTTCGGCGTTTCAGCTTTTGGATGCGGCTCTATTACAGGAGTCTTGTGCTTCGCTGCTGATTCTGGCTTACGCACTCTAAAATATAGTCATAAAATTACAAAAATTAGTGGAGTTCACATATTTAAACTTACCCTGACACCTGAGCTTGTGCCAGTAAGCTCTCCTGATTACATAGATCACCTTGACATACGCAATAGTTCACCAGACCTCCAACAGCAGTAGCACAACCCAATTTTATATCTGGTGTATCTGTCAGGGATACAAGACTAGACTGAGAGGCACAGTGTTTCTCCATCGTGAAGCTTCCTGAATATGTAGTGTTTTATTACAAAGAATGAGAATAAATGGAAGAATTTACAAAATGAAAAGCATAAAGACAAACCATCATCGTTCTGCGTTTGTTTGGTAAGGCAATATTCGTGATCAGCGGGGCAGACGGCTGGAGCGTTAGACGAACAATCCGCTGTAGGATCCGTCATTCCCGACTCAACACAGACTGAGCATCGCAGAGATCTCTGAATGATGATACGTAAAAACTAGAGCATTCCTAAGCAGTAACACTTGCGCTGCTTGCGCGAAATGCATTATGAAAAAGTAGTTTAACCATGATATAGGGCATTCGAAAGATCGTGACGACAGCGCGACCGCGCGCGACACGCACGCGATTCCGACGGCATTTTCTCGATTTCATTTACGCATAAGTGGTCAAAATTGCAAAATTTTTCGTAGTGAGTTAAAAAAGTTATCATCAAAGTCCTACAATCTCAGTGAAGTTTAGCTAAGAAACACTAATTAATAATGTGTGATAGTTGTTGCTTACCTTAGTAGGCTGAATTGGTTCAATGGGTCCTGGCACTAATCCCGTGTGATGTGTTCCCTGGCCTTCTTCGCTCTGAATTTTTATTAGTTCGTAGATAGCAAAAGACAGATGACAAATCACTGCAAATTTTTCTACACATCGTGCCAGCGCCGTTTCAGCGCCCTACCGTACCCTGATCGATGAATACGGAGGGCGTTCGCCTAAGCTTTGGCGCGGGGCTGGCACGGAGCTAGCACGGGGCTATCACAGCGGTACACACGCCACTTTAGACGCTGACTGAGTACTGTTCCAAACCTACCGATTCTGCCGAAAAGGGATCACCATGTTGCTCATTTTCTCTATTTTCCTTTTCGGCGTGACTTCTCAAGTTCTCATGATTGTGACCATGCGGAGCAGTCACACCGTTGTCGGTGTTCCTGACGGACTGTACTGGAGCAATAGGTTTCGGTGTCTGCTCCACAGTATGACCGGCAGATTTTGCTCGTATAATGGTGTGTCCTGCTTGATTCATATTTGGCTCAGGTGCCATCTCGACGGGGAAATCATTCTTAATCTAAAATAATCTCTGATTTGGCAGAATGAAGGTCTTGTAGTAATCTTACCTGAGCACTGATCGACGGCGAATTGCACTCGTTTGTTGTACAAGTGCAGAATCTCACTCGCCCTTCACTGGAGTCTCCGCAGGAGTCAAGCGCTGCCGACGGAAACTCTGCTTCTACTGCTTTCCAGGAAACACACATTTTCTCAACAGCGTTTTGTCCTGAAAAAAAAAGTAAAAGTTTATAAAAATAATCTAGTGTGACACTGTAAACTTGTGTATTAGCAAGATGATTTTCCCACCAGAACCAAGTAAGATTTGCCGCGTAAAGCAGACAGCATCGGTTTCCCTACATTCAACCACAGTAGGCCGCTCGCAGTCAGAATCTTCCGAGCGCAGACCTGACTCTCCACATTGAGCGCATCTCAATCCTAAATAAAGGAGTATCTGAAATCGATAATCTTTTTAAAGCCCGAAGTTGATTTTTACCATTGGGTTATCGGAAAATGTACCAGTATTAACGGTAGACCAACATTTTTCAAAACTTTTCTCAAAGAGGAAAAGTTTTAAAAATGGGTCGCGAAATTTTTAAAAGTTGCTTGTGTGGGTTATAAAAATGTGCAAGTGACTTGTTTATACTTGTAAATGATTAAAATAATTTTTAAAACTTTTTAAAAATTCAAGTTAGCCTTGTAAAAAAATTTTTTTGGGTTGGGGACACGCAAAAATTTTGAAAAGCACCCCAAAAATTTTTTCGGAGTGCGCTAACGCCAGCATCTTCATTGGAAAAATTTTTTTGTCCCCCCCCCCGGTCCAAAAGCCTGGGACCGCCACTGCTTTTCAACGATTTGCTGCGGATGGAGCAACTAATCTAATTATACAAAGAAAGAAGAAGAATGGATAGGATCAATGTTTGAACTTACATAAGCAGAAGGTTCAAAACCTATGAACATCAAAGCTTTGTTTTCAGAGTGAAGGAACCCGGATATACATAATGCTAAGATATACGCCCATAATTAGCCTGGCGTATAGTTTCTGTTACACTTGCACATTTGAACTTTATAGATCTCAGAAGCTTTCGAATGATCTCTTGTACCCTTTGATTCAACTGACTTGGCGGCTGGAAGGCGGGGCTTCATGAATTAGTTAAGGCTTGTTAATGATCAAAGAGCACGAGCCCAGGAAGACGCAGACTGTGTAAGGAGCGCGAGCGACTTTAGTTATATCGCAAAGCCCAGCCTTTAAGCCGCCAAGCCAGTTGAATCAAAGGTTGTGAGGCATGTTGACGAGGTACGAAATTCTACCCATCGCCACCATCACATCCGCACTACATGCGCAAAACACTCACTTTGCGGGAGGTTGCTTTCATCGCCACTTCAATCAGGCACATTATTTGAGCAGACTAGGGGGGGGGGGAGGTCAGCGCACTTATGTCTGCATACCTTTATCTGAGTCGGCGCTGAGCCAGTTGACGCTTAATAGCACTTTGACTGAAGACTTTTTGAAAGAATGAACTTTACATTTCTTTTGAGTTTCATATCGGTCTGTGGTGGCGTACACCTTTTGACATTTATTTTTGTATTTTTCACCCCTCGTACTTGAAATGTTACACCAGAGTGCCGCCACAGATGAAACAGTGATAAAATAATTTTGAAAAGAACTCTGTCCAAAAAGAAGCAAAGGGGATTGAATTTTGTGCGTGTTTAGAAACTGTCGCGAACTTGCTGGCTTTTTTGCATATGTAGCATCGGTCATGCCTGTTGCAGACCCGCTGTGCTCTACGATTGAGTCGAACTTAAGCGCATCGGGAAGCCATTGGAATTTTCTGGATCAAAATAAAGAAGTGTAACAGAAATTATCTGCCAACCTGATAGCTGCAAAGATGGCGAAAGCAATGTTTGAAAATTTCATCATTCATGTCGTTTTGTTTGTCATTTCAACGTCAGAAAGTCATCATGGTTTTTTCATCAAAAGGATCGCAATATAGATTACTGACATTACTTGTAGATCAGTCGGTACACGGTCTGGCTGGAATTCTTTTCGAATCCTAGTAGCCAAGGCGTTTGAGAATTTCTTTGGGGCTTTCCGATTTTTTGCGAGATTGCAACTTTTTTCACAAGGTATCTCCAATAAATTACGAATGTACTTCAATAACCCAAGATTTGAGTAAGTTTTTGTAATTTACACGACAAGTACGTACACAGTACACAGTATACAATTCCTGTAGACCACTTACAAACTATGCTTATATCATTTTTCAAAGTTATATCAATACTCTGTCGCAAATTCTCTTTAGCGCGAGTGCTTAGTACATCACAATCCTGTGAAAGTGGTCAAAACGATGCAGAATCTACAATTTATTGAGTCGTATACACCGCAATTACCTTGCTTTATAGACTAAACTCATTTCTTAGCACAGCTTACATATAGCACTTAATCTTTCAGAGACTTGAATCACGTACAGGAGCTATTTTCACTTCAATGCCGGACTTGTTTTATTGCTCCAAGGTATCAGGTTGGAACGCAAGCATCGCAAAATGTTCGAAAAAGTATTAGTTTAGAGATTCTTTGGAAAAACTTTTGGTGCACATATACATTTCCAGCACACTATGCTGCATTCTATTATATAATACATATTGGGAATTGTACCTCAAACAAAATCAAAAGATGAAATAATTGATAATTAGTTGCGAAAATTGAAAAAGTACGATTTTGAATTTAATTAAGTTTTTTTCTTCATGTATCTCCCAAAGAGCCCATAATGATTTTCTATGTAGTCTGAGTTAACCCAAGAGTGCAAGATTTTTGCTCTAACATCTCAAATCAAATTGTTTTTAGTTGAATCCTGGATTACAGATTTTTGAAAAGTGGTTTCCAGACTTATGTTCTAGCGTAATAGCACAACAAGTCTGTGCAGTGACAATTATTTTTGATCTTTTTTCACAAAGAGGGTATAGATTTGTGTTCTAAGAAATCATGAACAATCTTATCAAGGCTTGAATCGCCATGGAACTATCTCTTTAATCAATTTAAAAAGCATTTACCTGTAGAGGTTTTCGAATTAACCACCGGTGGTGGAGCTGGAGGAGCGGGAATGGCAACAGCGGGACGATTTCCTCCAATACTGCCAATGAATCCAACACCATTGTTAACCTCTGATGTAACCGTGCTTAGTGATGGGTAAAATTGGCAGATCAAGTAATCAACACAAAATTGGCAATGTTTCAAAAGCTTACCCGGAGAAATGGGCGTGTCGGGAAGGTCCGGCTGCTTCTCTCTTACGGGAAGTTGCGCTCGCCTAATCTCGGATTCGATTTTTGGCTGCTTAGCCTGCAGTGATTTTTTCATGAAAAAAAAATTGTTGGTTTGCTTCAAAAAAAGAGCCTACCCTTGGATCATTGATGGGAATGATTGGTGGCGGTGGAACTATGGGCGCTCCAAAGCCGACCTTTGCCTGACTGGGTGAGGTAGGGAGTGCGATCGGCGCAGGTCCAGCAGGTAAAGGAGTCGAAGTGGTTATTTCATCGCCAAATAACTCGGGATGTTTCTGTAGTACGTTTTGAACAGTATTTCCCATATCATGGTGGAACAACCTCCGAATTGCACTCACCTCCTCAAAAGCGATGAACTGATCGGCTATCGGAGGTTTGTTGCATAAGTTCTGATTTCGACAAAGACAATAAGCCACCTGAATACGTCACAGCCATGTATAGCAACGCAAATTACATATGTTGCATATACATAAGATAAGAACCATTCTGTAGAGCGAGGTTCAACTTAGATTTACGGTATAAACCGATTAATCAATCACTCTTTGTATTGTACGATTACGATATGAACTTTTAGCATAAAACGTCACTGTGGAATAGGCCTTTTGATGAAAATTCAAAAAAACCTGAACATGTATGTAGCAAGGATTTCAGGCTTGCTGATTTCACTACACAACTTTTGACCAGCTTCTGAGCTCTTTTAATGGTATAATCACACTTTTGGCGAACATTGGAAAAACAGTTGTTACCCTAAACCACAAATAACTTATGAATGCAGTGAAGTGCATGATTCATTCAGAATCAGCGACTTCGACTTGTCCAGTACAAGTGTTTCTGGCTTGTTTGGTTTTCCCTCTGAGGCGAAAATCGATTTTACTTACTACTCTAGAATCTTTCTTGAAGATCATACCGTAATCGTACTATAGTGAAAGTGATGCTTTGATTTATACTGTGTAAATCTACGTTGAACCTCGCTCTACAGAAGGTACCCCTTAAGCTCGCCAAAGACATGAAAGGAAAAGAGTTATCAACGATCGAACAGTGTTCACATTTTTTAAGAACACCTTGTAATTCATATTTAACAACCAGCACCAACCTCTTGATTCTGCACCTCAACCAGGTCGCATTCCTCATCGATTGTATAGCCCTTATTTGGGAAAGTATGGTAGTGGTCCTGTTCCGAGATGCACTCCTTCATGATAGTGTAGGTGTCTGCAATTGCACATACATAATTGAACTTTGAGAAACTGGCAAGTGAATTGCTT